AAATTGTACTTACAGTACTAAACATTGTATTAACAGTACTTAACACTGTACTAACAGTACTTAACACTGTAGTCATACCGGTAGTACTAAACACTGTACCACAGTACTAAACACTGTATGACAGTACTAAAATTGTACTTACAGTACTAAACATTGTATTAACAGTACTACACACTGTACTAACAGTACTTGACACTGTATTCATAGTACTAAACACTGTACCACATTACTAAACACTGTATAACAGTACTTAAATTGTACTTACAGTACTAAACATTGTATTAACAGTACTTAACACTGTACTAACAGTGCTTAACACTGTAGTCATAGTACTAAACACTGTACCACATTACTAAACACAGTATAACAGTACTAAAATTGAACTAACTGTACTAAATACTGTAGCACAGTACTAAACAGTGCACTAACAGTACTCATCACTGTAACACAGTATTAAATACTGCTATAATAGTACCAATCACTGTACCAACAGTACTAAAAACTGTGCTCACGAACTACTGCTCCTATTAACAAAAGGCATGGAAAAAATAATCAAAATAAACCCTTAACATCATAGCTATCCATGAATAAAAATCAGTCTTAAAATCCTTTTAGATTGATATCATGCATGTTTTTATCGCCCCTATGGAAGGGATCAGTGTATAGGTAATATACATATGTAAAATAATTATAAAATATATGACATATTTCTTTGATTTTCATAAAATTACCCCCCTCTATGTTTTATCTAATACAAAACGTTTTATGAAAAGTGCCACGTGTTGACGCTTTTTCACCCCATATTGTCCCAGTACTAGTGCCATTTTATGGGGCTCAGACATTTTTAGTAAAGCATTTGCTTGTATATTAAAATTTGGATATGCATGCAGTACTGTGCAATCTTATATTTTAAATAATATTTTAATCTTTGGCTTATGTAAACACATTTTTGCGGACAAAATTCCTACGGCAATCAAGCTGTCTGCTTAGATTGAAATGGCCGAACACACACACACACACACACACACACACACACACACACACACAGAAGAAAGGTTGCTAAATGTTAGGGTCGTGCGTTTTTACCTTGTTTTTTTTGTGTCTGTGCGTGTTTGCGTACGTGTGTCAATCAAAGTGTGTCCAATGCATTCTATCATTTGAAAAAAAAATGTTTAAAAAATCTGATCACCTTATCAATAGGGTTTGTCGCGCTCTTTTCAATTTATTTCTGGCCTGAAGATTTCATTGATTTGATGTATTTTTGTCCCTCTTTATAATTAGAAATAGACAACTCTAATGAATCTAGGATAATGTCAATTTTATATTTTATTTACCTAATCGTAGAACAAATAATGCATAAAACACCTTTATCAGTTGTTTATATCGGTGGTTAGACGCCAGATGTCGTACCAAGACGGGCTTTAATGTTGCAGTTGCTTTGATATGAAATGACGATGTAAAATCCCTTTATGATGCGGGAAGGTGATTGCCATAGCCATTCTTATTTTATACTAATGCTTTTCACCCCACCGAAAACACCATACAACCCAGGGACAGTGTTTTGTACTGCTCCCATTAAATAAGTAGTTTGCCATTTTTTAACTGACACCCAATATGCACGCACTTTTTTCTGTAGGCAGTTATGAAATACCGAACCTGTGAGATGGAATATCGTGTTACCACGTCTTCAGATATTTTTTTCTGCCCCGGGAGCACAGCATGTTTATTTAAACCTGTTTACGGGATAACCCAACTCAAAAGTCAGCCTCTTAAAAAGTGATATTTGAGAATGTGGAAAGATGTTTTCTGAAGTTTTTTTCAGTGACGTCATATAAAAGAGAAAGTATTCAATAAACAAAAGATTTTAAACATATGACTGATACAAAACGTCAACATTTTATTATGTGCTTTTTTGTCATAGTACTTTTAATGTTAAACTATCATATAGAAAAGGCATTGCTCCACTGAACTATCATTACACACCCCCTCCCCCCCCAAAAAAAAAAAAAAATCTTAAAATTCCATGTTAAAACAAGTGGATTAATGAATGAAGTTAAAGTATGGGCTCATTTGAGTAAAAAAACTTAAACGAAATTGCATCTGCAGAGGACGTCAGCATTGTATTGGGAGTAACGTGGCGCGTGCATCTAGGTTTTTACAGTATAAATAAATAAATAAATAAATAAATAAATAAAATTGTCAGTTTTGCATTGTACGTAACAATTGGTCCTCCCCTTTAGTTCCCATGATTTATTGTCGTATTACAGCAGCAAGTAATATCCCGGTAATAATTCAAAAACTGCTGTTCTTTCACACAAGACAAGCGGATAAGTAAATTATCTCATTTCCTTTAGATTATGTGATGCACAAAGTAACAAGGCATGTGCTTGCTTTATAAGTGAACTGATAACTCCCCGAACACTAGTTCAAGGTGAAACCTAAAGACGCTTCATTTAAAGCTTTTGTTAAGATAATTTGAAAATTGGTTAAAACGACGTTTTACAGGTTTTATATTCGTCACAGTGGATGCACCACGTAATGCTGGGGCTCTGATTGTGATGAATAATAGCATAGATAACGACTTCCTTGTTGTCTTCTATCACTGTTTCACATAACCGTAACTTACTATCGTGTGAATATTGAGCCTCGATTAGCATTTGAGTAAGGGACTTTCAAAGATACAAACAACGTTGTATGGAAATTGAAGCGGCGTGGGACCATTTGACCTGGGTGGGTAAACTGCAAGTCTACCGGTGACGTCATTAAAAAAAATCTATGGAGAGTCCTACGGTAACGCCCTGCTTAAATTATAAACTTGATAAATTTAGGTCAAATACAGCTTTATTTCAAGTGGGAAGTTTTAATAATCTAAATCAACATCCTCTTAATACACAAGCTCGACCAATAGCGTACTTGCATAAGCATTACGAAAGAGTTGACAGGATTTTTACCGCACACAACTTAACTTGTTTAAAATCCTGTCACGCTGAGTATCAACACTGTATTCAAGCCAAGCTGCACAGAACATTTTTTTTTACTTCAATAACACTGAATCACAGGTGGGGATTGAGGCAATAGGATCTCTTACAAAATTTACATCGCAATACATTACAGTAAAACGAAAACCCTTTACACATTAAAAGCATATAAATGGTATTGTGGTGCGCTTTTCATACTGTTTACATGGAGGTCAAAGGAGAATAAAAGTAAAAAAAAAAGAATAGAATGATAAGATGACATTTACCTTACTGCATTCTATAATTATAGATGACATAATTCAAATTGTTTACAAAATTTAATTTGTCCTAAACGGCAGATTATAGCTTAACTAATGATGTTTGATATTATTTAGTATTATTAATTAAAAAAGAAGGCAAGAAGCACAACTGGTTTTAAAAATAAATACATGATCACGAAATATAACAACCGCAAACTTATATGTACCGCTACTTACGGCATTCAAGCACATGTATTATACTGCAATTAATAATGAAAAATATATAAACATGCCTTTTACAGTGTACATATGTTTTAGTAAATAGAGTGGGAATAGATAAAACCTAGCATATTAATATAGCCACACAATAAACAATGACTTGTTATAGAAATAAAAATTTAGTGAGAGCTGGCACTCTCTGGTGGGTCCTAGCTGGTGTAAGAGATAGAGCAGTGGATGGATTCATTCAAAAATAAAGCGAATGCAAAATGAGATTAAAAAAAAAATAAATAAAACACACACACACACACACACACACACACACACACACACACTTAGTAAATCCAGGATATTCCACAAGATAATGAATGCACGAATAGAGGGGACGTGGATCATCAATGCATTTCATAACTGCTAACAATAAGCAACGCGGTCCAAATGCATTACTAAAATTTTATCCCGAAATCTGCAACAAACGAGGATACAAGGCACAAAGGTAGAGTACTGAAAAACGATGCAATGTGAGAATGCAACATTCATCTTTTGTCTTCTTTCTTATTTTCTCCTTTGATCATATTCAAAAGCATGGCTGACACATTCCGGTTTATGACAACTCTTTTTGTTGAGGGATCCACGAAGCATCACGCCATACCTTTTAATTTTTTTCCGTTCTTTTTCCGTTCTTTATTTATTTATTTATTTGTTTCGTTAGGCGAAATATTTTCTTCCTTGATTGGCCTCAGGAAAAGTAAAAATGCATGTAATGTATGCACTGTATGTGACATACAAGAACGTGGTTATATCGAGGTGCAGTCAAAAATGTATTGTGATTCAAATGAAGTAACCAGAAGTCCAGGCAGTCTAGGTATGTGGAGATCTGCGAACTAATAAAAAATTGCACGATGGTTGTACCTCCGTGGAAAACATCTGCCTTAACCCTTTTACCATTTATACTTTCGGATGAATTGAATATCATTTCCATGGAACAAAGTTTAGACTTGAAAAGAGGACAGCATTATTACTTCAGACCGTGGAATTAGGGAAAAACACTGTATAACCGAAAATGATATGAATGTTTAATTGAGCTATTTAATAAACACATAAGCCTCATTGGATGTGTATTTTTGTACTAAGCCAGTTAAAGTGCCTTGTATCAATCTTTTTGTTATAGATTTCATATTCACTACAATCTTTGCTTTATGTTTTTAAATATAGAATGTAAAATTATATACATGTACATTCCATAAATACTACTACTGCTACTACTACTAATAATAATAATGGTAGTATATTCATTCTTATTTCTTCAGGTATTTTCTCGGGTTAAGCGTACATTTACTGAAGCCCAATGTCTGGGAGGATAGTGCCCATGTTGATCCTGTTCCTGGGCTCGCTTGCTCTTATAGGTAACTACAATGACTCCCATATGTATTGTCATATGGTCGTTAGTATACAAGATAAGTTTACAACACGCATGGAGCAAATCATTTCTTGCATTTTTAAAAACATCGAGCTTAAGCGAATAAATCAATGATCTTTAGGTAAGACGTCTGCGTTATCGTACACAAACCTTAATTAAATGTTACATGGTACTACTAAACTTTTAAATCCCAGATTCCAAACTCACGGGAGCAGTAAAACTGACAAAGGTTGCGTTTCTGACAATTAAAGTTCTTTCCACAGTCTGCTAATATGTATATGCATTTTTAAATAGCTAGCCAGTCGACAGTTTCATCAGACAGTTCCACGTTGGAAGACAGTTCTACCACGACTTTCGCCACATCAAGTGAACCATCTGTTTCATCAGAGATTGTAACATATATAGGGGATTCAGAATCTTCTGAAGAAAATACATCTACTGATGATTACACATCAACTGATGTGTCCACATCTACTGAAGATGCCACATCTACTGACGATTCCACATCTTCTGAAGATTCCTCATATACATTAAGCATCACATCCACTGAAGATACAATGACAAACTACACATCAGTTGACGCTTCCTCATCTCAAGAGTTCACATCTTCTGAAACTTCCGAAGTAACAGAAGAATTAGCATCTTCAGAAATCCCTGAAACAACAGATACCACGTCTACTGAGGATACAACATCTACTTATGATTCCACATCTATTGAAGACGCCTCATCAAGTGAAGAAGTCACATCTACTGACGATTCCACATCTACTGGTGATTCTACATCTATTGAAGATGCCTCCTCAAGTGAAGAAGTCACATCTACTGACGATACCACATCTACTGGTGATTCCACATCTATTGAAGTTACCTCATCAAGTGAAGAAGTCACATCTACTGACGAATCCATATCTACTGAAGATTCCTCATATACATTGAGCATCACATCCACTGAAGATACAATGACAACCTACACATCAGTTGAAGCTTCCTCATCTCAGTATTTCATATCTTCTGAAACTTCCGAAGTTACAGAGGAATTAACATCTTCAGACATCTCTGAAACAAGAGATACCACGTCTACTGAGGATACAACATCTACTGATGATACCACATCTATTGAAGATGCCTCATCAAGTGAAGAAGCCACATCTACTGGTGATTCCACATCTACTGATGATTCCACATCTACTTTTGATGCCTCATCAACTGATGTTTCCACATCTACTGACGCTTCCTCATCTCAAGAGTTCACATCTTCTGAAACTTCCGAAGTAACAGAAGAATTAGCATCTTCAGAAATCCCTGAAACAACAGATACCACGTCTACTGAGGATACAACATCTACTTATGATTCCACATCTATTGAAGACGCCTCATCAAGTGAAGAAGTCACATCTACTGACGATTCCACATCTACTGGTGATTCTACATCTTTTGAAGATGCCTCCTCAAGTGAAGAAGTCACATCTACTGGTGATTCCACATCTACTTTTGATGCCTCATCAACTGATGTTTCCACATCTACTGACGATTCCACATCTACTGGTGATTCTACATCTATTGAAGATGCCTCATCAAGTGAAGAAGCCACATCTACTGGTGATTCCACATCTACTGATGATTCCACATCTATTGAAGTTACCTCATCAAGTGAAGAAGTCACATCTACTGACGAATCCATATCTACTGAAGATTCCTCATATACATTGAGCATCACATCCACTGAAGATACAATGACAAACTACACATCAGTTGAAGCTTCCTCATCTCAGTATTTCATATCTTCTGAAACTTCCGAAGTTACAGAGGAATTAACATCTTCAGACATCTCTGAAACAAGAGATACCACGTCTACTGAGGATACAACATCTACTGATGATACCACATCTATTGAAGATGCCTCATCAAGTGAAGAAGTCACATCTACTGGTGATTCCACATCTACTTTTGATGCCTCATCAACTGATGTTTCCACATCTACTGATGATTCCACCCCTTCTGATGATTCCACTTCTATTGAAGATGCCTCATCAAGTGAAGAAGCCACATCTACTGACGATTCCACATCTCCTGAAGATTCCTCATATACATTAAGCATTACATCCACTGAAGATACAATGACAAACTACACATCAGTTGAAGCTTCCTCATCTCAAGATTTCATATCTTCTGAAACTTCCGAAGTTAACGAGGAATTAACATCGTCAGAAATCTCTGAAACAAGAGATACCACGTCTACTGAGGATACCACATCTATTGAAGATGCCTCATCAAGTGAAGAAGCAACATCTACTGGTGATTCCACATCTACCTTTGATGCCTCATCAACTGATGATTCCACATCTACTGATGATTCCACATCTACTGATGATTCCACCCCTTCTGATGATTCCACTTCTATTGAAGATGCCTCATCAAGTGAAGAAGCCACATATACTGACGATTCCACATCTACTGACGATTCCTCATCTGCATTAAGCATCACATCCACTGAAGGTACACTGACAAACTACACATCAATTGTGGCTTCCTCATCTCAGTATTTCATATCTTCTGAGGAGGAATTAACATCTTCAGAGATCTCTGAAACACCAAGTACCACGTCTACTGATGATTCCACATCATCTGAAGATGCGTCATTTACTGAAGATGCCTCATCAACTGATTACTCCTCATTTACTGATGATTCAACATCTACTGATGATACCACATCTTCTGAATATGCCACATCTACTGATGATGATTCTGACGATGATTCCGAATCTACTGATGATTATGAATCTACTGATGATTCCACATCCTCTGAGGATGCCACATCTACTGATGATTCCACATTTACCGTTGATTACACATATACTTCTGATTTTACCTCCAGTGATGGCACGCTATCTACCTATGTCACAACTAGTGACGGAATTGCACCCTCATCCACTGATAGTGTTTCAAGTATTGGTTCTGATACAGAGATTTTCACAACAATGTTATCAACAGTCACATCCACTGAAAGCATCTCAGCCACTGAAGACACCACAACCACTGAAGGAACAACAACCACTGAAGGTACCACAACCACTGAAGGCACCACAACCACTGAAGGTATCCCAACCACAGAAGGCACCACAACCACTGAAGGCACCACAAGCACTGAAGGTATCACAGCCACAGAAGGCACCACAAC